TATATATATTTGTGGGGTGTGTGTGTGTAGGTCAGAGGACAGCTTTTGGGACTCGGCTCTCTTCTTCTAAGTCTGTGTGGGTTCCACTGATTGAACCCAAGTCGTGAGGCTTACACAGTAAGGCCTGCATATACCAAACCGATGGTCTTGCTGACCCCACAAACATGTCTTGAGTGACAGAACAGGGAGATGGGTGGACATGGTACAGGGGTGTCAGATGTTAACAGCTGGTGTGTACTAGTTTCTGTGCTGGATGCTGGATGACACCCACACGTACCCCACTCTCAGGCCCTCCTCCAAGGCAGATACAGTGGAGGCAGTGTCTAGGAAATACCTAGCCACCTGGAGGGCACTTCCTAAGAATCGGGTGTATGCCAGAGGGCCTGACAGGTGAAGAGGAGCTACTGAGGACCTGGAGGGCAGGAAGATTGTGAAGGCTGAGGGTGGCTGGGGGAAGGGGGCTATTACTGGATCCAGGCCGGTGGAGAAAAGGGCAGGTGTGCAGGCTGGGGTTATGGGGTAAGGGAAGGAAGGCTCCGAGGAAGGAAAGAGCGCGTTCTCTTAGCCACTTCACTTTCTCTTTCTGAGGCTCAGTTTCCCCATCCTGACCATGCACTTTTTTCCTGCCACACTGTCCTGCCTCCTGGAGGCTGAGAGAAGCCTGGCATGGTAAAGGGACTCTGTGGGAGCAGGGTGCTGAGGACCTGGCCTTTCCCCCAGCCGTGACTCTTCCATCCTTCTCTCGGTGAGTCGCGCCATCGCTGAGAGGAAGGCAGCCTGACCGTTGCCAGTGGGACCCATACCTGAGGTGGACTGGGCTCTGCCTTTGAAGGTTCTCTGCTCAGATCTCATGCTGCTGAGCCCCACGGCTCTGATAGACAAGCTTTTCCTGGAGAAGTCAAGGCTCAGAACAGAGAGATGATTGACAGCTATATTTACCACCTAGCTGAGAAATGGCAGCTGAAGGAAGGGCTTGACTGAGATGTTTCTGTCCCAATGCCCTGCTGCCCTTAGCAAGGCTGAGACTTAGTAGGGGTGTATAGCACAGGTCTCTCAGCCCTCCAAGCACTCCAGAGGCCAAGGCTGGAGGATCAGAAGTTGACTACATAGATGGGCCAAGTGAACTTGTCTGGCCAGGTCTGGGAAAACCAGAAGAGTACAGGTTAGACACCTGCTCCTGGTCCCCTTTGGCAAGGTTGTCCTCAACATAGTTGTGGTTTTTTTCTGAGAGGAAAGTGCTTTGGGTCTCTGGAAAACCCTCAAATCTTTTCCCGTGGGTGAAGATGCTCTTGCAGTGTTCCGTTAACTCCCTTAAAGTCCCATAACTACTTCAGGCGGTATGGTTGTGCTCTTGTCTTAGACCTGGGAGAAACCGAGGCTTAGAGAGAGCAGGGACCTGAGGGAAGCCCACTAGTTGACTGGGCAGCACCTGCTGTGCCTACGCTCTGAAGGCTGCCTTGGGACAAAGGAATGGACTCCGTACCACCTAAAGTAGGCATTTGAATATAGTGGGGGCATCAGAGGCCGACTTCAGCCCATGCTTCAGCAGAGCTTTGTTTTGGGGTCTGCCCCCAAAGGGGAGTCCTCCCATTCCCCCCATACCCCTGTCCCTCTGTCCCTCCCCTGCCTCCTTACCATCCCATCCCTGTCTCAGGCCTCACCAGCGTTCAAACAACCTCTACTGTCGGGAAGGGGAGGGGAGATTGACAGGCTTTTACACTGAGCACTCCAGGCTTCTTTGACTTTCCAAACCTCAGTTCTCATATCTGTAAGGTAGGTAGAGCCATCAGGGAGCGTTGTAGGACACACAGCTTCTCTGCTGCCCCACAGACACCCCTCCTGTCCCTCTAAGTGTCCCCTGTAACAGGCTGAGTGGGAACGAACCTCCCAGCTTGGCTTCCTGCAGAGGTGAGTGTCCGGACCATAGACATCTGCCTCTGGGGACTTCCCCGGTACCTGGGCTGGCCCATGGCAGACACAGTGAGTAGCCAGGAACCCCAATATGAGCCCGAGGAAAGCAGGGCTTAGCAACCATTGACCTCTGACTCCTTGAGAGGCAGGACTCACAGAATAACCTCGAAGCCAGAGCCCTGCCATGCATAGCTTCCTAGCTGGAAAGTGAGTTGAGGCCAGGGTGCAGTGAGCTCGGGTCTCTCATTCCCACACACTGTATTGTGTTTCTCTAGGCACTTGCGTTTGTTGGGCGCCTACTCCGTGACAGGGACTTTAGACCTGCTAAAATACATTTTTTATTGATTTTTATTGAGCTCTACATTTTTCTCTGCTCCCTTCCCTGCTTCTTCCCTCCCCCTTCAACCCTCCCCTTAAAATACATTTTTTAATGTTTGAATTTTATTATTACTGTGTCTCTTTCTCTCTTTGTGTGTGTGTCTGTGTACACCAGTGCATGCATTTGTGAGTGTGTAGCACAGTGTACACTTGGAGGAGGTCAGAGGACAAGTTTTAGGAGCCTGCTCACCCCTTCTACCTTTTTATGGCTTCTGGAGATTGAAGTCAAGCCACTAGGCTTGCAGGCAAACACCTCTACTCACCGAGCCATCTTGCCAGATCTTGAATATTTCTTTTTCAAGATGGGTTTTTTCTGTGTAGCCCTGGCTGTCCTGGAACTCACTCTGTATACCAGGCTGGCCTCAAACTCAGAGATTCACCTGCCTCTGCCTCCCGAGTGCTGGGATTAAGGGCGTGTGCCACTACCACCCGGCAAACATTTATTTCTGTAGTACTAGGGATGGAACCTAGGGCCTTTTCCATGTTAGGCAAGTGCTCTACCATTAAGACAAAAGGAAAACTTTTGTTTGCGATGGAGTCTTATGTAGTCTAGGTCAGCCTCAAATTTGTTATATAGCCAAGGATGACCTTGAACTCTTGATCCTTCTGCCTTCGAAATGCTACATTTCAGGATTACATGTAAGTCCCACCACATCCAGTTTACATGGTAC